CAGTTGCTATTTGCCTCTACAAAGTATTAGTTGAAGGTGCCAACTGACCAATAAGTTCTGCTTAGGTTCAGGGAGAGCCATGGTTAGATCACGACCTGTCCAGCTGCTGTTTTGGGAATACTGCAAGTGGCCAGTACTTTGAAAGGAACCAGCAAAACGTCCTTGTTCTCAATGTGAGAGGAGAAATGTGACTTTCACCTATACACTGGTCTCTCCTGGAAGCAAATTATATACCTTTCTCTGTTAAAATTGATTTGAAAAGTCAGATTTGAAAAAATATATAATACAAAAAAAAAAAAAGGATGTTACATTACTGTTCAATACATACAGAACGATATTGATATCAGAACTTATCAGAACTTAAGATCAGGAAGAAATCTCTCCTGTAGTGACAGGTTAGCATGGTGATGTAGCATCCAGTCATGTCTAGAGAGAGAGGTTGAAATTCTGAGTTCTAAGTCCATGCAGGCTTCCTATGATTTTGAAGAAACTGGTAATGGCTAGATACACATAAATACAGAAAGCCTCCAATATTGTGCACTGAAATGCCACTGTTAGGTGACTTGATCCTAGGGCTGAATCCATAGAGCCTTAAAACAACCTTGTGAGCTTCATATACATGAAGTTAGACATATGTGAATTGCATTCACAAAAGCCAACTTAGTAAATGGAGAGCCAGAGGGTGTACGGATGCCTTCAGATAGAATTTGCTGTGTCCTGCATGCAGATATCTGAGTCAATTGCCTGTAAACAAGCTAATGAGTGTACTGAGGGCAGTCTAGCCCAAATATAACAATCTTGTTATCATAACTAATTTGCTTGGAGAAGTCTACTCCTAACAATTCTGTATCTGAGTGAGATCATGTAGAGCCTGCCTTATTATTACTATTTATAATTTGGGCAGTATGGGCCTAACCAGGGGAGTTCTAACTAGAGAACTACTGCACTTCAGTTGGACTTGGTTTCCTACTTGTAGTGGTGCTGCAGTCCAAAACTGCAATTTTAATGCAAATGCAGCTTTTGAATTCCTTTTGCACACCTGAAAAAGTGAGAAGTGATTAGTTTGTGCTTGCTTTCCAATTGGTTTTCTATGTAGGTCCAAAGTACACATAAACAGGACCTCAGAACAACTTCAAAAAACATTTTTTGGCATGACTTTCTCCAATTAATATGAGGACTAGGACAGCTAGGAAACAGAACAAGACAAAACCTCCTGAACCTTGGTAGGAGTTTTATTTTAGCAGCTTGCCAGTTTAGCAACACACTACACCAGCATTCAGAAGATACATGGGAAGGACTGTGATCCCCATTGCACAGGCATTAATCATGTTTGGTGAAGCATTTCTCATGAAAACTACAGATTTGTACACTAAAGGGAAGACAGAAAAGATACAGCCTATAGCACAGTTTCCAGATTGGGTAGGATCAGCTTTGTTCTTCAGAAAGAGATAAAAAAAAAGTTATAGTTTAGCATCTTTACAGATGTTACATGCTTTGGAAAGATTATGTAGCAGTGGTCCCTCCAGACAGCAGAGTCCCTGTGAGGCAGGCGGGAGCACACATCTGCCTTCCCCTGCGTGCCTCAGTGCTGTTCTCATTCTAACAATGGGAATCATCGTTCCCTATTAAGCTCACACTGAAAGCTTTGAATAAAAGCCTTAAAAAGCTCAGCTGAAAGCATAAATTCTGTGGGAAACATGTAAATCTGGATGAAATCTTCCATTCATTTCTAATCTTGCTATGGTAAACCTCGTAATTAAGACGATTAAATGACTGAATAAAACCCTATATTTACATCCTTTAGACTACCACAATAAAAAGCCATAATCCTGTTTATGGAAAAAAGCACTAGAGGCCTTTTAAAAATGAGACATGAAAGCTTGTTATTTATGCAGTTGGTAATTAATTAGCAAAGGCACCTAAGAGTTAACTGTCTAGGAAACCCATCTTGGAGAAAAAAACTAACAAGGGGTGAGGAAGAATCAAATGCTGTTTATGAAAGGGAAAAAAATATAATTAAATGTTATGTTTATTATCAAGTTATGCACGGTAATTATATTTCACAAAGGTCAACTTAAGATCTGCAACAACAACAAAAATATTAGTGGAAAAGCTTCTGAAATAGATTCATTAAAATGATACAGAAATTACAGTGAAGTCACAGGCAACATTTTTTTTGAGTGATGGTCCAGGAAAAGCAGGAGGTGAGAATCTGCTGGTAGCTATTTGTCATAAGGAATCTGCACAAAACCCTTTTTATTGAATGTATTTTCCTTCACCATTCTGAAAGAGAGGATAATATCTCTCCCCAAAAAATCCCTCATTTTTCTGCTCAACTATTTCTATATAGGTTAACAAACTCATTTATTAAAACCAATAAATAAATCTCTCATCTTAATCTGTGCTGCAAATATTCTGAATATATTTAATAAGTGTCTTATTTTTTCCTTGTTTTCTCTGTAAAATATTTGGACAACAATCTAATGAAAACCTACATGAATAATCTATATATATCACAAGTTTGTGGTTGTTTATTGCATTACCTCTTGGTAATATATCACAGCATTAATAAACCAGAAATCAAGTATACATATGAAACGTTTTCTGATTAAATTATTGTCAAAAGAAATTAGTGTAGTACTTTTACAGTTGGTGGTGCTTTGTAAAGACTTTCAGACTTTTCTAGAATTGCATCTGTAAAAATGGGATATAGGTATTATTCAATCAATAATTTACTTTATCTTCTATTTGAAAACTTGTTAATAAACCTACATCTCTTATAATACAGTGTTCTTTCACTAAGTCATCTTTCTTTTCCCATGATGATACTGTCACCTTCTAAACGGGTTCAATCCTGAAATTCTTAAGCAGGTTTATAAGTAGCTATTGACTTTAGAGATTGAGGAATGGGATTCTGTTGAAGGATGAACTGCTTATGAGGTTGTGAAGAATGATTAGGTTTGATATTGTATCATGGATTTATCTCCTGGGATAAGTAAGTGAAAATTATTTCTAAAGGTGCTGATCAATGTGAATAAATCAATGTAGTGGAGCTTGCAGTGTTCATCCACAAAAAATTCTCTATCATCAAAAGATCCCCATAACTCATGATTTGTTAACATTAGGTGTTTACACATCTGAAACATGCTTTAAATAGTCTTTAGCTTAGATCTATCCACTACAATAGCTTAGTATTCACTTGTAACTTTATCTCCCAGGTGATTTTAAGGGTCAAAATTTCTTACGATTGTTTAGAAAACAATATCATCTTTCCAAATGAGACACAGAAACTATAATGGAGTATCCAGAAACTGAATGTGTTAAAAAAACAAATAATAAAAAAAATATTTTTTAGATTTTTCTGCATACAAATCCGTGAAGTTCCTCTGGCCTGCAAAAGAGCTTTGTTGGAAGAGAAGTTTCATATTTGCTGCTTAATTTCAGAACCGAATTCACACACTTCCCCCTCAAAGTTCTACTTTCCACAAATTGTCATCTTTCACTAATGCCTTGTACCATATTGTCACTGCTTTGTGATTTACTGTTGAAATATCACCAGACATGACACTTTTTATAGGGTTCATGGAGGTAGCTCTCCCCTTTCCCATGAGACTCAAACTACTGTAGAAATACCACTTGCAGTCACATTGCAGTGCCACAAGGACTTGCAGTCCCCGCACTATTTTCCAAGCAGGGGAAGCTGAAGGGAAATTGAATGTGATTCTGTACTACATGGCAAACAAAAGAAAGGGAGACCAATTCCCCTTCCCATTCACATGAGGTTGTGTCTATATCTGCGTATCAATGCAATGCTTCAGCTTTCACTGATTACTCCTCTACACTGCAAAACCTTTCCTGGCACAACTATGGTGATGAAATTATGCCAACAGAGGCTCAAAATATTTTTTTTGAAGTAATTTTCCTGCTGGCATGGCATAGCATATCAGTGTTCAAACAACAGAAACTAAACCAACTGAAAGGCTGTCTGTGAACACAGTAGTTTCCACAGCAGGGGTTTTGCTGACTGACTAATGAAAATAAAAGATGCTAGTTTGTCACCATCAAAGACAATGTGTATATAACAGTAGAACACTGTGTTAGAATCTGTCTAAATAAAAGTTTAAAACCATCATTTTAGGGAAAAAAATGATAAACAGTTTGATGACATATCAGGTGTGTTTTGTGTAAAGACAGCTGCTAAAAGGTATTATATGACTACTTCACTATTGATGCCCATCTATCCTTACAGTCTCAGTCTGGGGAAATCAAATTCAGCTGTGGTGTTGACACTGTCTCTCAGGTTTTCTGCCTGTCTTTTCCCTCTCAGTTTACTTACCATAATCAAGCTTTAACATCATGCACTCAATTCCAACATATAGACACTGTAGTGTCAAACATAGAAAAAGTTTTAAAGGCGACCATAACAAGAGAATTCACCCAGAAGAAAGAAAAGCAGAGAAATGGCCAGCGGATAACAAGTGTTAATTGCACGCATAATTGTCATACAGTAAAAACAATCATTCTGGACTATTTCTAACTTCTAGCAATGATGCAGTTTTACTGGAAACTAAGCTATACAGCAAGAAAAAGCAACCAAAATCACGGCTGTACTACTGAAAACAAAAGAAAGCTTCTATTAAAAAACAGTATCTTGGCATCGACATTTGGAGAAATTTTTGAAGGCTTCTAAGCTTTAAAAAAAATCTATCACCTCAAGGCAGTATATTCACCACTGGTGGCACAAGATGCTATTGTTGTTACACTGAAGTTTTATACTGGGAATAAGACAATCTTGTAAAAGAAATTCTACCGCTATTCAGTGGCATTTGCAGTATATAAGCTTTAATTACTCCTTTGATACTCAAAAAAATTGTCAGCAGAGTGGTGGAGATTTTATTTTTCAAGTTCTGTAGTCAAATACATATTGTATCTAAACTACTGAGCATCCAGTAATGAGCAAACTAAAGACCAGCGTGCATACAAGCTGCAGCCTACTGTACCTGGTGAATGAAGAGGAGGGGAGCACATCAAAACGACTCCTTGACCTTCACGTACAGAGACAGCACTTCTTGTCCGACCACTAAAATTCCCCAAATCTGTCAAAAGAACAGAGCGTTTTACTTAAAAGACAAAGATTTTAAATTTTGTGGCTACTCTGACATAACTTTTATTTCCTCTTGTAAAGCTGACAGCTCCTTTTTTTCATACACTGATCCATAAAAGGAAGGCCTTTATTGCAAAAAGTTCCCTGTTTCATCAACATTTTGTTACTTTATATAGTGCACTCGGATGCAGTATTGAAGGAAAAGTAGCAGACAACATACACACCATTCACAAGAACATTTAGCAGTGCTTTCGTTTCTTTCTTACCATATCCTGGTTATGTTTTTGTTTTGTTTTGTTTTGTTTGTTTGTTTGTTTGTTTGTTTTGTGTTTTTGTTTTGTTTTGTTTTGTTTTGTTTTGTTTTGTTTTGTTTTGTTTTGTTTTCACCAGTAGACATGATTCATAAACAGTAAAACAAAGAAAAATAAAAGTGGAGAGAACACCTAGGCTAATATTCAGACTGATGATGTTATTAATGTCATCTGGACAGTGCACAGCACATTGTGATGAGAAGGGAAAATTAGTCACATTGGCTCTAAAACTATTTCTGGTCTATAACACTTTTTTTTTTTTTTAAATACTTTCCTTTTGATTTCTCTGCGGTTATAAACACAATCCAGTTGTGGGTAAAGATATTTTCCCTCCAAAAGTTTCCCTTCAGCAAGGGAATAGGAACATTTCACTTTTTGTACAAAAACTTTTGAATGAGGCTGTAGGGTGCTGCTATGAAGAGTTCATTGTGTTTATTTAAAGCCTCTCAACCAGAAGATCCAATTACTCCGTTTACCACAGGGAGCACTGCACCTGGATTCATATTTGAGGTGGATAGCTGTGCTCTAGCATGTGTATCTGTAGCAGAAGAGATATGACAGCTCAGTTCTGTCATCAGGCTGGTGCCTTTATCCATTCCTCAGTCTCAGTGATCCCATTTAAAGGCCTCCTTTCACTCAGGGTTTTTCTAGAGATATTTCTCCCTGGTGTGGATCAAGGTGAAGACAGCTGCAGTAAAGGTATCAAAAGATATCTTTGAAAAGGACACTGAAGCTTCAGCAGGCACTAAATGAGTATCTGAAATATGAATAAGTGGGGCCAGTGGGAGCACCTCTGATTAACAATCAGCAATCTATAGTTTTATTTGTTAATTTCTGTGTATAGACTAAGGTGCTGGTATGAGCCAGACAGCACTGAACGGTTTTAAAAGGTTGCATGAAATTATTACTTTCTTAACTACACTCAGCTGACAGCTCTCTGTCAGACACTAAAGCTCCACATCTTGCTCCATGCCTAGTAGTGCCTCACTGGACTTCAAAAGTAGTATGAATTGATTCTTGATGCATTCCATAGTGGGTTTATGTGCACTTTTTTTTTTAGGTAGAGAGAGACTTAGAATCTTTCCAAATGCTTTTTCACATTTCTAAAAGATGCCTTGGGCATAGGCAGGAGTCTAAAATTTAAATGCACCTACATTTGCTCTCTTTGGCCAAAATAGATTTCAATGACAGATACCATGTTTGAAAAGAGAAAAGGTGGATGGACTTCAGAAGGATTTTAACAAATAATATAACAATATTACCAAATAATACAAAATTTTGCTAGGCAATAGTTAAAGAAATATTATATTGCATTTTAAAATAAACCCATCAAGGTTTATAATTCAATCTACTGTCATTTCAATTAAAAGTGTCACCTAATGAATGTTATCTGATAGTATATTCTGCAGTAGTGTCATTATTATTACTTTATGTCTAGAAAGTAGTGGACTGGTATATCCCTGCAAAATCAGTTGTTTTGAATAGGTGAAAAGCTTGCAATGATGTTTTCTTAGTTAAGAATATTCGAATTCCACTTGCATGTGACTTTATATTTCTGTTAAATCCTGTATTTTTCTAAAAGGAAGCTGATTTATCAGCCAATATTGTCTACAGTCTATTAAGAAACCAATGCTTAGTTTTCATTTTAATGCTACAATTTAGGAATACAATAATCTTTTTTTTTAGTGCATTATTGTCAAGTGCTTGTAAAAATAGTGTGTGTCAAAGATTTTTTTCAAGGTCACTTTTTCAGGCAAAAATGACACTGAATTTCCATAAAATTGTTCTTGTAGCCTTCCTTCTCAAGAAAATACTATGAATCTTCTCTCTATGGGTGCCCTAAAATATACAGTTTGATTTACTCCTCAAATGCCTTCAAAGCCCCAGACTGTATGCATGAACAATCCTCAGTGAATTTAAAATGTGGACAGAACTTAAATGGATGTGCTTCAACATGTTTTGAGATGTTCTGAAACCAGAACAGCTGTTCTGTGAGAAATACAAAAGACATTTCTCCGTGTATTGGAAGAGGTATTATCATAGCAGTACTTCTTTAACCAATGTTTGGAGGAAAAAAACAACTTATGCTGCAGACATCAGAAAAAGTCTCCCATGCTACTAATTACCTGAAACCCATACTCCAAGTCTGTAATATGCACTATAAAAGGTTTCATTTTATTTTTTTAGGAAACATTTGGATCAGGGAATCAAATAGCTGAATAAAAAAAAAATAACTATGAGTTCAACAGTAAAAATTCATACCAATGTGAGAAGAGTCTCTACAATTTAAGTTTTTTTTTTCCAGTTTCCTGTTTTGTATGTACACTGTGATCAATAAGTATTCTTTTTTTTTCTTGAAATAAAAAACTATTACCTTTTTTAGTTAAAAATAAAAGTACTATGTGTGATACAAGTTTGTATTTGTTCAGACCAATTAATTACAAACTAAAGAAGAAAAGTAACAAAGAGCTTTTAATTTCCACCCTATTTATCTACGTGTTCTGAGTTGGATTTCTTATTAGGACACAAAGAGAAAAAAAAAAAAAAAGGATTAACATGTACAAAAGCAGGGATTTAGCTGTAAAACAAATAAATGTAAAAAAGCTTTAAAGGAAGAAAAGGTGAAAGATCATGCTTGTAGTTCCCCCACATTAAAATAATAAGTCTAGTATGGAAGAATCAAATGAAAGGGAAATTTAATTAACTTCCTGAAAATCTCAGCCATTACAGATCTAGCCATATAGAAAAAAATAAGAAAGACAGCTACTGAAAAGCTATTCAAACCCCTATAATTTTATTTTTAACAAAAAACCTAGAAAAATAGATAATAAAAGAAAGAGTAGACAGAGGGTGGGCACTGTGACCTCTCAAACAGCAGTACCAGCCATTGGCTCAGTATTCTTGCTGCAGTATAAAACTGGAATACGTGTGACACATCCGACAGCTCCACAAAGAAGTCCACCAGTCATATTATGTACGTCTGGTTGATAAGAAAATGCCTTTTTGTGCTCCACAGGTATTCATCTTTTGCACTGAAAGATTAGTTTTACCCTTATCTCAGTGCCAGCAGCAAAGATGTAACACTTGTCATACTATTTTCAAAGGAGTTCCTGGGGTATTAGATATATTACTTCCATATTCTTTAATATGAGCCACACCTTGCCCATTTTAAAAATGTATAGTTAAGTGTCAGTAACGCCTCATAATATAAATGTAATGTCAGCAATGTATTTGCAAAACTTGCAAAGAACATTTAGGATGGAGTGCATGTGGTAAGAGTGGCACAACTGCCTTATTTCTGAAAAAATATTCAATTGCACAAATATTATACAGTATCAATTACAGAGAACAACCTGTGAAACAGGAGTGGTCCCCACTGTGAAAGGGAAATAAAGACATTCCAGAGCTGGCAAGTGAAGGTGCAAGACATTAAAGCCAATGAGTGTGATGCAACGCTTTCTGGGTGTCCTACTTATATTTCAGGCATAATTAACTCAGTTTAGTACTTCATATTTAACAGAAGTTATGAACTTAGGAAAGCACCTATTAGGTAGTATGGCTGTCTCTGCAGTGGCTATCCCCATTCTTCTGGAAGGAGCTGAAGCATAGGTTTTTCTCATCACACATATGTTCTTGTTGACGTACATTGGGGAAGAATGATGCCACCACAAGAGCAGAAGTTTAAATAAGACCCAACAAAAACCAAAGCAATTCTGCAGAAGAAATGAGAAAAATCTCAAGGCAGTTAAAGCAACAGAAAAGCTTTTCAGGACTAGCAACAAAATAAACTAAGTAAAGGAGGAAATATTCTGCCATTAACAGAGGCTTTTGTACAAAAGTTGAACAGTTTTTAACCACTTAAGAGCCTTCCAATTTTCCTCCACTGTAGTTTGCTTCTTAGGCATGCATAGAGAGGTTCGTTAATTTTCTGTTTTCATCAGTTGTCTGCAGCTGATGGGGGCAACAGTGACAGTGACAGGACAAGCTTTTGTGATCCAGACAATGGTCCACCGATGATTGCTATGAAGTTAGGGTCAAATTAAAATTAAAAAACAGCTCTTATTTTAGGTAGTTGCTGCTTATTAAACTGGCATGGAAGATGTGGAAGGCTCTGTAGTCAATTAATTTTTGAAGTAGAAATTAGATTGATGCAGAACAATGTCCTCTGCCAGCCCAATTCTGTGAGTATGTACTATTTTATGTGTAAATTTATTATGGAGTTTAAAATGGACATCGCAGGATATATATGAAAAAGTTTAAAGACATAAGCTGAAGACATCTAAAGTATAAGGCAGGCGATGTTCTTTCTGATAAGGTAAAAATAGCTCTACACAGGGTAAAATTCTTCTGTCAGGCCAAGGACAAACTTATTCATTGCATTGTCACTATAGAGAGGGTGGCCTTCCTCTCCTTGTATTTGAAAGACAGGATCAAGAAATAGACCTTGAGCTGGAACTGTAGCTCTTTTTAAAAGGCAAGACTTACAAGGAAAAGAATTCCATTAAAAACATGTTTTTCAAAATTCCATTATAACCTAAATCAAAAACATGGTTTGACTCTAAAACATGGTACACTCTAAACAATGGGAAACATAAATGTTGTGTTTAATAGCTATAAACACAGGCTATAGGAGAATGAAAGGCAACTGTTAAAAAGGAATAACACGTATGATTTTATAGGGAACTTCTAAACTGAATGAATTAAA